TCCTCCTCCGATATTTGCTCCAACAAGCGGGGGTGGGGGGTGTCTATCTCTTTAGTAGTTTCACTCTTTGTTAGATCTAATGATTAGAATGGCATTTTAACATTCCCTATGAGTCAAAACTGCCTCCCTGTATCTATCTATAGTATAAGTACTCAATGATTTTATTGAATAATTGAATGAATGAACTCTAATTCTGCCCTCTGAAGTTAGAAAAAAAATTGGTTGGATTCAAATGGAGCCCTGGTGGTCACTGGCTGAGTGATATGGCTGCTAACCAACAGGTCGGCAGTTCAAATCCATCAGCTGCTCCTTGGAAACCCTATGGGACAGTTCTACTTTGTCCTGCAAGGTCGCTATGGGTTGGAATTGACTCTTCAGCAATGGTGTTTTTTTTTTTTTTTTTGGATTATGTCCTTATTTAGTCTTTGTTTTTCTAGTCTAAAAATCTATGATTCCTTCATCTGACATGGTTATGTGACCTCCCCATACCATTCTGGTCATTTGTATCATGACTCCATGCCTGATATAAAGCAAACCCTCAAAATATGGCTACTGAATGAATATAAGAATGAGTGAACTGGAAAGCTCCAGTCTGTCAATACTGGTCTCAAAAAGAAATGTCCAGAATTAAACCTATTGCTAACAATATGGTCAGAAAAGAGGGCTTATTGCAGGTCGCTTACTCTGGACATTATACTGCTATTAATGCTGCCAGCTTTTTTCTTTTTGGTCTTTTTTTTGGCAGTGGGGGTGGGTGGGGGCTTAATGGTGACAATACACTAATGCCTCATATTGAGTTTGTAGTCAATTAAAATTCATACACCTTTAACACAGGGGACAACTGGGTAACTTAGCCATCAAGCCCCACACAAGGGTGTACCAAGAAAGGCTAAACTACAGCATTTATTTCCATATGAGAAAGAATGGTATGTCCTTCTGGGTGTGCCTGCCTTTTTTAAGGTCATGCTGGCACTCTGATCACCATAGCACCTAAGCCCTTTAGGAATTTGAAGACTTTGCCATATTCTGGGAGAGGAGGCCTAAGTGGGTGGGCACAGCAAGACACCTGAAGGGAAATGACAAGATGAGATGACCTTCTTATACCAAGTGGAGGCCATGAAGCTCAGTTTAGAATGGGGCCAATTACCCCAGAAGGAGACAGTCAGTATGTTGGTGGCAGTGCTCCTGGAAAGGAAAGATTTCCCTCAGATGAAAATAAATCCAGGAAAACTAATGAGCCTAACAGGAGTTGAGACTGTCTTTGTGTCAGCTTACTTAAGGCTGCAAGCAGAGTTCCGGAATACTGGAAAATCTTCAAAGTTCACGTGGGTTATCACCTCATTGCACCTCACAGACTCTTGGGGGAAAAGGGAGATGAGGCTGAGACAAAGTTGCCCTGCGTGGACTAATGCCCTGGAATGGCAGTCCATGCTGAATTTGCACAGTATTGAATTAATTTAATTTCTCTGGCATAGTGAAGCCCACTCTGTAAAATCACTGTG